TATGAACTCACCAACCTTTGTGTTGACACTTTTCAAACAACTTGTATTCTCAGGAAATCACTAAACAGGTAATCAAGTGCTTTTGAGGATGGGACGTTAAGGCGTCAAACTTTTCATATTTTGTCAACATATTGTAATTGATTTTGAAACATGTAATTCATACAAGTGATGTAACTATTTCAATTATATATATGTTGGTTGTGTTTGCTTAAATTACTATTGAAATTGTGGTTATGATACTATACATGAAGTCCTCCACCATCGGACGTTTCCGCCATCCTTGGTTTGGGGGTGTGACAAATACCCACTCCTTGATCATTACCCCTCAATGGGAAACGATTTGAAACAAGGCGCTACATGTACACTCTCACTTATCGTTACTTTTACACAAATGAGATTGTACAAGTGTCTAATACATAAATTTATAAATTACATACCAATACAATCTAACTTGATGAGAAAAAAGCAATATGAGATTTAGAAGAGAAAATCTGATATGAAGTTAGAGGAAATTGTAAATTATATGATCTCACTTGATAAGAAAAAAATTGAGGTTGAGATTGAGGAGAGAAAATCTCATGAGTTCAGAGGAATTGTAAATGATATATCATCTGCAATTTCGCCATGTCAAAATGAAAAAAAAAAATTATATATTTTTAACAAAATCACACCCTAAATGATGAAACTGCAGCCCGTGAAGGCCCACCTTATGATTTTGGTGGTTATACGGGTCCTTTTTTTCTTTCTTTTGCTATTTCTTGCAAAATGCTTAGAAAATTATCCAAAATTATATTTTTCATTATTTTTATACACTTTGTTTTTTTTCTAACGACAAATCTAACTTACTTCTACTAAACTACTCTTAATACCACTTATGTCCCGAACCAGATTTGAATACTCAACCTCAAAGAGGGAGAACAACACCTGGTACCGCCAGACTAAAAGCTATTTAGTTTTATGCAACTTGTTAATTTCGCTTTTTTATAATTTTGTATTATATACAATTTAACAATAAATTAAAAAAATAAAAATAAGGAATTAAAAAATATATATGTATATAAATAATATATCAATATTACACTCTATTTATAAGTAATTAAAAACCATGAATTTTGATATATCTATCATCTTTTATCATAATAAATAAAAATAATTTTGTCATATATTATATTCTTAAGCAATTAGACACTTGTCATTTTGTAATTTATTTGAATCTCTCTATCTCCCTATCCTATTAAAAGAGTAGTTATTTTGCTATGTGTGACCATGTTAAACCTTGTAATTAATATCATGTCATTTATCAATCTAATAATTTTCCATTTCAAATTTTAAATTTCAAAATTTAAATTTATCATTTTAATTACATTAAATTAATAACATTAAAATAAAAAATATAATAAATTTTATATGAATCATAATAAAATAAAATTTATACAAATTATAAGATGATATAATTTTACGTATTTATTTGAATAAACAATTATAATTTTATACATAATTAAAAAAATATCTTTTAATTAATAAGGTATTTAAAATAGTTAATTAATAGTTTAAGTTTTTAATTAAAAATTTAATTAATTTTGTAACCATGGTTTTTACGGGTTATAAAATAGTATTTTAAATATTCACTTGGCAATTTATTGTTTTTTTTTTTCAATTTTATTGAATTCCACTAGTATTTAAAGGTTAAATGGACCGTGGACTGATATTTAACAATTACCATGTATGAAGGAGATTATGGGTTTATAAAATGCTAACCTTTTCAAATACGAAATACCATGAAATTAGCAATAATGCATGAACAGATCAACGAGAAATTAGGAGCTCAAAATTTGAATCGGATCACCAAGCCTTCTGTCGACCTCATACATAAGGCAGTAAAACGCGCTCACTTGAAGAGTTCTAGAGTATTGTTTCAAGAAATTTAGGTCTGTTTTCTCTCGTAATTGTTTTCAATATCTTATAACATTACATTCAATATCTCAGATACGATAATAAGGTCGGGAATTGATCAGAATCCCGAGAAGAAAATTGAATGTATAGAGATGTGACTGTTAATTATGGAGAAGGCCAAAGGGATCTATCCATCCACTTTTGTTTTATGATTTCCAATTGTCCAAAAGAAGAGTCTGTATATTGGTATGGATAGATTTGATACCAGTGAAGAACAAAGGCTATCATGAATGCTTCTTTATAGATGGTATGTAATTGTTCCTAGCCTGGTTGGGATAATGGGCGAATACTTTTTTAGAGGATATCATAAAATTCGGTTTAAATGCAAAAAATACCAATGTGATTGCATTATTGTTTATGTATGATGTATGACATGTTGTTTATTTCAGGAATGTATTTATAATGAAAGTACAATGTTAACTTGGTTGGGATGTATAATGAGGGAGTGCTTTTTCTGGAATGTAATATCTTCGCTATTTAGATTTTGTCCTTTTTTAGTTAAGAATAACTATGCGTTTTATTTTAAATCAATTTCGAATTACAGAAAAGGTGCAAAATGTTAAACATGCATAGAGATGGAAGCTGTTTTTCTTGAAGATATATCTCATGAAGCTACAATTGCTGTTAACATATTAAAAACTTGCTATTAAATGATACAAAGGTTAAATATTAAAAAAATATAATAATTGTTAGTTAATATTCTAATATGTTTAATCATTGACATGATTCCTTAATGCAAGGATGCATTTGAAATGAACCAAGCAATCTACTTTTGTATATTAACAAGGATTCGAGTATTAGTTTAAACCAAAACTATGTTCTCCAAGTAAATTAAAATATTTTTGGTCCCAAGTAAAACATACCCTTCACCCACGGAAAATTGTAAAAAAAACTAACCTACATTATTATTTTGTTACTGTGAAAAATGTCTTTTTTGGAAAGGCAAACTAACTTATTCCTAAATGCCCAAAAAAGATAAAAGTAAACAAATTTGAAACCATTTTTGTCATTATCATAGATACTGCATGGACTTGGTTTTGGCTTATGACAATTTCGCTATATTATCCCCTTAACATCTTTGAAACCATTGTTTGTTTAACTCTTTTGGTCCTTAAAAAGGTCGTTAAAGTGCCTAACTTAACATTTGACTTTTATTAATAAAATAAAAACAAATCTGCCAATTAAACATCGCTCTTCATAAAAACTAAATTTATTTCTATAGCATCAACTATTTTTACATGAAATTGTTATTACCTCTTTAAACTTTAAAATATCTAATTAACACATTATCCTATTACTTGGAAAATTAATTAATTTTACGTATTAAACGTTGAGATAAGATGAAGACATGCGTAATTATTTTATTTTTTGAAATAAGACTATGACAAGTCTTTATACAAAAAACAAAATTAGTCTCAATTAGAGCAATGTACTTGAAAGTACATTGTTATAATTTGGATCCCTTAAGTTTTGTTCATCGGAAATCATCTTGATGAACATGTTGTGTATAATGACATTAATTTTAAGTTTTTGTTGCAACAATATATCTCTTTACAAAATACAAAAATGTTTGCCTTAACAACTACCATTATTCTCAGCTTTCAACAAAATATTCAAATCAACAATTGTTCTGAAAATGACATCTGTTAATTATTAAGAAGGCCAAGAGAAAAATATTCAAACACATTGGTGAGTCTGTGTTAGACAAGATGATGCAGAGCAATGATATGCATAAAAACCCACAATTATAATCTAAAATAGCAACCAACTTTAATTTCTTTGTTTATATAACATCATAATTCGAAAGTTAGTTACTATTTTAAAGGACAATGCTTTAATCGAATTGTTGTAAATTTTAGTTTTATTGGCAATGGGTCTTTGATTAAAAGTTGGTTCAAGCTCTCATGGAGTTATAATATTGGATTATCTAACTTTTTCTTATAATATCAATAGTTGTTTTGTAATGACAATAAATAAGAGTCAAGAACAATTGGTATCAAATGTGAGGTTGTTTTTGAGACAACAAATGTTCACTCATAGGCAGTTTTATGTTTCATTGTTCAGAGTTAAAAGAAGATATGGATTAGAAATGTTAATTTTAGACAATAACCATACACTTAATCGTATGAAATCTAATGTTGTATTCAAATAGATCTTTTGAAATTTGTAATTAAAGACAATTCTTTAAAATATGTTGATCGGTTTTTTTATTAATATTGATTGTAGTACTTACTTATTCATAATTTCGATGGTATTTATTTCGATATTTTACTTTATAATTGTTTTATCTTTAAACTTTAATATTTAACTTTTTTTTTAATTAAATTCATGTATTTATAATTTTGTAATATATATAATTTAATAATAAATTTTAAAAAAATAAAAAAGTGTAAAACCGCACAATGAAACCTTCTTGTGATTCACCACATGTGCTTTTCACCGCATCATGAGGTGTCCACCTCAGCCTATGTCCACTGTAGTGAAAATATACCATGTTGCCTACAACATATGTATACACCCAGGATGTCTCTGTGTTTTTGTCTCCAACTTAATATTTGCTTTTCATTTCTTTTATAAAACATTGTGATGTCAACAAAAAAGGCTAATAATATTGAATGGAAAAAAAATAAAATGAGTAATATTAAAAGTTAAAAAAAAAAAAAAAAAAAAAAAAAAAAAAAAAAAAAAAAAAAAAAAAACGCACTTCAGCTAAAAGTGTAAAAAATTTCAAATTAAGGGTTTCATGGGAGTTACACTTTAAGAAGGCTGTAAACTAGTGATAAAAATGTAAGAACCTTAATAAAAATTATGCTTTAAATCGGACAAAAAATAAAAGATGAAACCGGTAAAAGTCACAAAATTTAAAATTTTCTTAACAATATCTTTTTTGTATTTTTGTTGGCCAGCATCATGTGGTGGACAAGAAGGAAGATCCTTGGGTCGGCATTGAGGCCTCTTTTTAACATACATTATCTCTAACTTTTAATCCACACACCTACTCATTCTTGATCGTTCTCAATCTTACTTCTCTGCTACTTATCGCAGTGATGTTCAAATTAATCACCTCCGCCGTATCTGACGCCTGCTCACGGTGGTGGGGAAGCGCCAATGGCGCCGACGAAGAAGTCATTAGCACCGTTCTCATCATCGCTGCTATGCTTTCTATATTCTGGCTTGTATGGATGTTGATATCAAAGGACGCCCACCCGCCACTGCCGCCCGGCCCACGATCTCTGCCACTTGTCGGAAACCTCCTGTCTCTTGATCCAGAGCTCCACTCCTACTTCGCCTCTCTCGCAAAGACCTACGGTCCGATTTCCAGGCTCTGGCTCGGTAAAAAACTGGGAATCCTGATCACCTCCCCGGCCTTGGCCCGTGAAGTTCTTAAACTCAACGACACCACCTTCGCCAACAGAGATATTCCGGTTGCTGGCGTCGAGGCGGCGTATGGTGGAAACGATATTGTCTGGTCCCCATATGGCGATCAATGGCGGATGTTGAGAAAGATTGTTGTTCGTGAAATGCTTAGCAACCAAACTTTGGATTCCGTTTACTCTCTCCGGCGGAGAGAGATCCGTAACACCGTGAATTACTTGTACAACCGGGCCGGATCGCCGGTCAACGTAGGTGAACAGATGTTCTTGACCGTGTTGAATGTGATTACCGGTATGATGTGGGGCGGCACGGTGAAGGCGGAGGATAGGGAGAGCCTTGGAGCGGAGTTCCGGCAAGTGATCAACGAGATGACCGGATACTTAGGGATGCCGAACTTGTCTGACTTTTATCCGGGTCTAGCCAGGTTTGATCTTCAGGGAGTTCAAAAAAACATGAAAGTGTTGGCGAAAAGATTCGATGCAATATTTGAGACGATGATTGCTCAAAGGAGGAAGATGAGTGGCGATGAAAACAAAGACTTTTTACAGTACTTGTTGCAGCGTGAAGACGACAAAGATTCCAAAACACCATTCACAATGATGCATCTAAAAGCCTTGCTCATGGTAACCGCTCGAGTGATTATAACTTTCTATGAGTCTATAACTATAAAAACTGAATCCAAACTGGACAACTCACCTTTTAATTATTACACTAGTTGACTTAATTTTTATCTAAATTTGGAAACTTTCCAGGATATGGTGGTCGGAGGGACGGATACGACTTCAAATACCGTCGAGTTTGCTCTGGCTGAAATGATGAACAAACCGGAAATCCTGAAAAAGGCACAACAAGAATTAGAAACGGTGGTCGGAAAAGACAACATAGTGGAGGAATCCCACATCAACAAACTGCCATACTTATACGCTATCATGAAAGAAGTTCTTCGTTTACACCCAACACTTCCGCTATTGGTCCCACATTGCCCAAGTGAGTCGTGTGTAATCGGTGGTTACATGGTTCCAAAAGGTGCTCGAGTGTTCATCAATGCCTGGGCAATACATAGAGACCCAACCATTTGGGAAAACCCATCGGAGTTTAGTCCTGAAAGGTTCTTGGTTAACGAGTGGGATTATAGTGGCAATGACTTCAATTATTTTCCATTTGGTTCTGGAAGGAGGATATGTGCAGGGACTGCAATGGCGGAGCGAATGTTTATGCTTTTGCTTGCGTCGCTTATTCATTCGTTTGACTGGGAATTGGCTCCCGGAGAGAAGCATGATCTATCTGAAAAGTTTGGGATTGTGTTGAAGAAGAAGGTTGCTCTCATGGCAATTCCCACACCAAGATTCTCAAGCTCGACTGTGTACGAGTGACATAATTAAGTTGTATACGGGCTACCACTTCCAAGTTATACATGATGTTCAATCTAAAGTACTGTTAATATCTTTGCAAGCAGTAACATATACCTTTTATACTATTATCTTCAAGATGAATATACTATTGTTTCCTCGATAGAAGATGTTAAAGAAACATATATATATATATATATATATATATATATATATATATATATATATATATATATATATATATATATATATATATATATATATATATTAAAAAGGAACACTTTTAGGAAGAGTAAAGTTCGTAAGAAGTTGTCAAAAGTGATAATTTGTTTATGTGTGTGTTCTCTGTTGTCTTTATTGCTACCTATTTTTGTGTAGGGTACTTTTTGCAAAATTTTAAATTCTTATTGAGCACATGTTGTTTATGCCTTTGCTTCACTATTTTCTCAGCCAAAGATATTCCGATTTTTGTACTCTTCATGGAATTACTTTGCCCGGTTAATCAACCGTGTTCACCAGTTCAACTCTATTCTTATTACATCGCTTCTCGATTATTCTTAGTTAAGCCTGAAAGGATCTCACCATCATCACCTTACAGTCGATTGTTCACCACGACCGGTAATCTCCTTCTTCCATCGTTCAATGCTTCTCTCTCCTCCTGTCACTTCCTTGCGTCCATCGCTTCAAATATGCTTGATTTTATCTATTGTTCAGGGGGGAAAAGGAAGCAAAGAGTTCAAGCTTCCATGAGTTCCTCCTCTCCCATTTAAAATAAAAAACAAATTTCATATTTCGTGCCTTCTACAAAACAGATTTTGGGCAGTGTTGATTTTCTCTCTCTCAAACGAAATCCACGGATTATCGTTGTTCACATGAAAACCTGGAAACACCAACACGCACCACCACCCAATTGCGCTGCACTGGACCATGATTTCTCCATTTGTTGATCGGCGATGGCTAAGTCATCGGGAACTCCACATTTTTAGATGGCGTGTGTTGGTGATCAAGCTAATGAAACAGTTAAAAAACAGGAGATAACAACTAAATGAGGCAGACGAATGATTACTTTTATTGAATGAAGAAAGACAACTGAATAATTACAGTTGTTGTACAAGAGAAATTTCGATTGATTACATTGGCATCAAAGCTACTTCTATTAAATAGTAAGAGCTAAATAGAAAAGAGAAAAACTAGCAACAATCAATTTAAAATGGTCATGACTCCCATGTGCCTTATTGTTTCCTGATTACCAGGTCAACCTTTGACCAACATTTCTCCCCCTCAAGGTTGACTTTTCTACCTCAGATTTTCTATGTCAATAAGTGCCCTCATTTTGGCAAACTTCATCCTTGGCATTGCCTTTTTTGGTACATCAACCTTTTATTGATCCCCACTCACACGTTCCACCTGAATCTGTTACCTTTCGACACACATACGAATAAAATGGAACTTTGTATCTATGTGTTTGCTTCTGCCATGGAACACCGGATTCCTTATGAGGGATATAGTGGATTGGTTGTCAATCAACAGCTTCACCTTCTGTGCTTTCTTTCCCATTAGGTCACTAAACAAATTCCTTAACCACAGTCCTTGACACGCAGTTGCGGTTGCAACCATATACTCAGCTTCACATAAGTTGAGAGCCATAGTTTTTTGCTTCTGTGATGCCCATGTTATAAGATTTCCTGAGTAGTAGTAAGCTACACCAGTGGTCCCCTCTGGTAGTGTCCAGTCTCACCACAGCCGTAGCAGGCATGGTTTTCTTCAACTCCGGGGACTTGGGAGATCGGTTGAGCCGGTGCCCTGAAGAAACGGATTGTGTGTCCCTTTCTATGGCAGTTCAGACATTGCATTTCCAGCATACTCCGGTGTGGTGATAGTTGCACTTTCCACACTTCGGGAGGGTTCCAGCATATCGAATGGCAGGTGTTGGAGTAGCAGGTGTTGTGGTGGCATACATAGTACCCGTTTGTTGCTCTTGCGGGGGTTCCTGTGTTGTTCGTTTCTTCTTTTTCTTATTCCCCGACTTTCGTTTATAGTCCTCTCCCTTTGATGACTCTGAAACGGGGACTTCTACACCATGGCGGATTCCATGGTCGATGAGTCGCTGAGCCAGGAGTTTTGCACTATCGAATGTAGTTGGGTTAGAAGACAACACATTTCCTTGGATCGGGACAGTTAGACCCCAGATGTATCTTTCTATCTTCTTGCTCTCCGGCGTAACCATCCCGGGGCATAGTGATGCCAGGTCGCTAAACCTGTCAGTATAGGCCACTATGTCTGAACCGACCATCGTGAGCTCCCATAGTTCTTGTTCCAGCTTTTGAACTTTGCCCAACGGGCAATATTCTTCCAGCATTAACTCTTTTAGGTTCTCCCAACCTATTGAGTTAGCCACTGATAGGGTTAGTGACTTAACATGGCTATTCCACCATGTTAGGGCTCTGTCGGAGAAGGTGCAGGCAGCAAACTTCACTTTGCTCCCTTCTGGGCACAAACAGATTGCGAAGACTGAATCTGTTTTCTCGAACCATCGCATCAGAGCGATGAGTCCACCATTTCGATACTGCGAACACTCCCTTGGATGTCCGTAAGAATTTTCGGAGTTGGCTAAGTGGGTACCGCTACCAGATCCGAAGGTGTCACACCCCCAAACCAAGGATGGCGGAAACGTCTGGGGGTGGAGGACTTCATGTACAGTATCACAACAACGTGTATAATAGTGCTCAAGTAAAAACAACCACCATAAATATAATTGCAAAAGTTACACCAAAGTATATGTTTACATGTTTCAAAAGCAATTACATTATGATGACAAAATAAATTGTTGACGGTTTAGCGTCCCATCCTCAAAGCGATGAAGTTTTCCTGTTTCACTGATTTCCTGAGAATACAAGTAGTTTTAAAAAGAGTGTCAACACAAAGGTTGGTGAGTTCATAAGAGTTTTGTTTGAAGTAGAAACCGTTTTTCCTTGTAAAATCGATTTAGTTTGATTTCCAGAAAATCCAATATTTTCTTAGTTAAGTATGAATAGAAATAATCCTACATGATGCTGTAATGAACCCTAGAGTAATCCGTAGAGTTCCTCTATAATCGTCCAACATATAAAGTTATATAAGGCTTAACTTAGATAAAACGTTGAATATAGTGGGTCTGCCCTAGGTCCACAACCCAACGAGGAACAGGAGATGAGGCGGGCACCACCAATTCTAGGCCAATCAAGACTAAATTCTTATATGACTCAACATATACGCTCAGCGACTATAGTTGAAGTCTAACAATTTTAGAGGATGTGTAGTTTTAATATCATAATAGCTTTGTATAGAGACCCGGCACTTTGTATTTGTACCCTTTTTGTATAGAGACCCGGTACTTTGTATTTGTACCCATAGAGATAAAAGGTGATTTTAAATCGACATAAAACTCATTTAGGTTTTAAAAATAAAATCCCGTAAACTTATGGATTGTTCCCTATGTGAGCCGTTATAATCATACTATGACTATGTGAACCTGCCACGACGTTCTCAGTGTCGCGAAAAATGAAATGACATTTGTCACCCGTAGACCTGCAGGTCCAACTGTAGCTAGCAGCAAGGTGTGGGGTGTCAATCCCAATATAGATCTATATACAAGTATCACGTTCTCCCTCAAGGAGATTCTGATTATAACTACCAGGAATTATATCCCGCACTCGGACGTACGGGGAGAGAGAGAGAGAGAGAAAATAGAGAAACTCACAATATAGGATAACAAGTTTACGTGAAATGTGTGTGAATATAAATATTTCTTGTATGAATGTACCCTTCTTGTACGAGTGCGCAGAGTGATGTATCATAAACTATACCTATTATAGTTTATCTAAAATGTATGTAATATGTATGAATCCTTTTATGGAAATGTATTAGTGTTGTGAATTTATCAAACCATAGATTAACTTACGTGAAATGTGTGCGAATAGAAATCTTTCTTATATGAATGTACACTTCTGGTACGAGTGCGTAGAGTGATGTATCATAAACTATACCTATTATAGTTTATCTAAAATGTGTATAATATGTATGAACCCTTTTATGGAAATGTATTAGTGTTATAAATATATTCAAACTATACTTTTTATAGTTAAATAATACGTGTTCCAAAATGAATGGATAATATTTAATATGAATGTCTTAGTTTCAGTTCATAATGATAAACTAACTAGGAAACACATTCAAACATTAAAACTTATGATTATACACTTTGCTCAACATAATACAAAGTGTTATGATATTTACATGTTGTTGGTAAAATTTAGCAATTCTGCCCTGTTTTGGAAAAATCATAGAAAAATCATACGAAGTCGAAAACTAGATCCGTAAATTCTGAGAGTTCACAAAATGTGTCTAGTTTGCTCATAATTTTTATCACAATTTATAATGACCTCTAACTTGGGTGAAAAAGTCCATAATCACAGACTGGTCCGGATTGTTGTTTGAAGTGATAGGCAGTTTTGTAAAAATCGCCATAAATTGTAGAAAAATCGTATGGAGATGTGCAAGTAGCCATTTTAAAGCTAAAAACTTGAACTATTTGCACCTTGTACAGTTTTGAAAACAAAATATTTAAGATGCCCAAAACAGTCCGTGAATGGAGTTGAACTTTTCTGATGAAGGCTGTTAGAAAATTTAGTTATGTTCTTAGTGTTTTAACTTGTATTCCCCCCTGAAAACTTGAGAAAACATGAAAATGTAGGGGTATGAACTCACCTTGAGTGATTTCAGTAGATGATTGTTGAAGAATGGAAGTGTTTAATTCAAGAACACTTGGAGATGCCTTGAAGGTTTTCGAGAATCTAACATCATAGTTAGGGAGTTTGTGTAAGCAACCAAAGATTTGAGTAGAATGAAGTGAAATAATAATAGGGAGGATGAATTTTTACTTACTAAGTGTGGAAGAACACTTGAATCCAGCCTTGGATCTCGAAAATTTGTGTAGAAGAGTTTGAGAGAAAAAGTGATGTTTGTTACTTAGTGGAATGAGAGAAATGAGAGAAAATGAGGAGTGTGGTTGATTGTTCCAGCTCAAAAACGTGGGAGTGAGTGAAATTTGAGTGTAAGGGAACATTGAAGTGACATAGGTAAGGTGGGGAGGTATGGCTGGTCATAGAGTGGGTGTGGGGTGGTTGCTTGTGACTTTGATTTT